TATATATATATATATATATATATAAAGGTTGTCTCCTACGTATTGGATTGGAAAGGTGCACGCCTTTGAATCCACACCCACAAGCATAAACCTATCCAGTAATACTCCTAAAACCCTAAACCCCCCTTTGTGTGTAAACCAAACCCACAAGCACACACACTGTGATACAAATACAGGTATCGTATACATACTTATACCTACTCTATCCTCACGCTCCCTGCTTCCGTGACACACCAGACATCCGAGGCATGTACGCCGGACTCGATATCTACGGCCAAAAGCAGGAGAAAAATGCCGCAGATTGGGTGAGATGCAAGAACTGCAACCAGAGTGTGAATTCCTCTCGCTTTGCCCCACACCTGGAGAAGTGCATGGGCATGGGCCGCAACGCTTCACGACAAGCACGGAGGTGAGTTAGTTGTGTGGCTGGTTGTATACATTGCCGAACGTGTGTCGGTTTGTGAGTGTATGTGTTTCGTGTATATGTGTGTATGTATATATATATATATATATATATATATATTTATTGCAGTGAATCTGCTTAGTTCGGGAATACAGTATTAGCCACTTGAATACAATCACATGCACCCTTGGTACGTCGTCGTCACATCGGCAGCTATAGCTTCGTCATTTGTTGACAGTCCGGATGTTACACTACCAAAACACTCATGAAGAATCCCCTTTACATCATACTAAATCACTCTGGCCAGACAGGGGGACGCACGCCACACAGCATCACTCAGACCATGTGCTTGTGGCGTATTTACTTAGCAATCTCATTCATCTCCTTCTTTGTCCTCTATATTTACCAGGCATATCTACTTAGCAATCTCATTCATCTCCTTCTTTGTCCGCTATATCTACCAGGCAAATTGAAACCAAGAATGTATCGCCTATGAGCTCAGGCAGCGATGAGTTCGACGACAGTATGTCTTTGTTGGGTTCTACTTCGATCAATTGGTTGGGTTTATGTAGAAAAGAGTGGAAATGTTTACGCAATTTCAGGCAGACCAAACGCATGACTTTGTGGCTGTTTCTTGTATGTATATACAGCTGAAAATGCTTAGTTGTATCGTTTACATAACCGTTTTTGGTGGATCGAACGCGTTAACTTGTGGCTAATGTTGTATATGCCTTCGACTACATCTATCAACAGCTGAAGATACCGCGGACGAAACATACGGAGCCAAAAGCCTCCGAAAGGCCAGGGTGAGTGGTCGTAGTTAATTAGTAGACAGTAATGACCAAATGCATGTGCCATTGTTGCCATAGATCGATCTTACTGAGCACGGTACCTTTGGAGGTGAGTATGTTGATGTTAACTTGGGAGAGAGGATGTGTGTGTGTGTGTGTGTGTTCGTCTGTTTGTCTGTGTGTGTGCATATCGCCAGTCCTGATATATATATATATATATATATATATATATATATGTATATATATATATATATATATATATATATATATATATATATATATATATATATATATAT